GGGGGGAGGGGAGGAGATTTACCTGGTCTCAGTTCAAGTTTCGCAGTTTAAAAAAAAATTTGAATCAAAATGTTTGGGTATGAGCTCCAACACTCTCCTAGCTTTTGGGGAACCAAATGTGAACTGTTGGACGTTATACGTACTCCAAGGACCTGTCACAATTGTGTTTGACGTTATTCGTACTCCAAGGACCTGTCTCACGGTCAGTCAGACCGACCACTCAAAAACCAGTTGTCCCCAACAATAGCCAGGATTTGACCAGCAGTTCTTCCTCTCTGGGATGTTTGCCCGCCCTGCTATGAGGGGGAGATAACTATTTATAGAATGTTTGCCATATAACATTTACAATAGCTACTTCCCCTACACCAGGTCCATGCCGGTGAGTTGTCTGGTGTCATCGTCACAAAAAGTCTTTGCCACTTTTGTCACACAGTACCGTCTGTAGGAGCTAAACCAATCAATCAATCCATCAATCAACCAATCAATCAATCCATCAATCAACCAATCAATCAATCCATCAATCAACCAATCAATCACCGGGTTGCTCCTGACACACCCACACACCACACACCGTCCTTACCTCGTGCTCAAAGCAGCCAAAGATGTATCTGCCCGGGCCATACGGCGTGCGGCCGATGAGAAAGTTGGCGAACAGTTGCTCGTAACTGGAGTAGGTGAGGGGGTAACGGCCGTTCTGAGGGAGAGAGGGAGGGAGGTGAGGGAGGGATGGGATGAGAGAGGGAGGGAGAGAGGGAGGGATGGGATGAGAGAGGGAGGGAGAGAGGGAGGGAGGAGGTGAGGGAGGGAGAGAGGGGGTGAGAGAGGAGGAGGTGAGAGTGGGATGAGGTGAGGTGAGAGAGAGGGGTGAGAGAGGGAGGAGGGTAGAGAGAAAAGGACAAGGTGAGGCGGAGGAGGTAAGAGAGGGAGGAGGGGAGAGGGAGAGGGAGAGGGAGGAGGGGATCAGTCACATCAGTCTCCAGGATCTGTATCTGTCCAGGGCAAGAAGGATTTTCATCAACAGATAAAAAATACACGCTAACACGCAAACACCCCACACCCCCCAACAAAACAACAATAAACTCACACATACACACACACACACATGCACACACACACATACACACACACACACACACACACACACACACACACACATACATCAGTCATCTGTACATAAGCTCTCTGCGACACCTCCCTGGCCTGATCACACACACACACACACACACACACACACACACACACACACACACACACACACACACACACACACACACACACAC